CATTTTAAGAGTTATTTTAGCTTGTATTTGTAACTGTTTCTTTTTTACATCATTCATAATTGTCTTTCTGTATGGTGTTGAGCTTTTTCCAACATCAATAAGGAACTCGGTGCTTGGTTTTTTATCTGTTTTGTCAAGAATCGGACAGATATCAGCTCCATTGATAAATTTATTACCAGAGACAGCATCAGGACTTGTATTTGGTGTGCTTGCTTTAATTGGTACTGTACTGTGTTATTTTTTACCCGAAACAAAGGACTCGGAACTACCTTCATCGTTGGATGACACAAAGATTTTAACAAGGCGAAGAATTCATTTGGTTGAAGATGATTCATCAACAACAAATGTACCACTCTCAATTATTGATTAAAGCTTTAATATAATAAAATTTTAATATGCATATATTTTAAAAACTATTTTCTTTAAGGCAATAACAATTTAAAAGACATAGATCGGATTTTATTTTTTACCGTTGATACTGTAACATTCTTAGAATAATATTTATTTCTCACATCTTAATTCTATGAATTCATATAATATTGATCATTTTCTAGAACATTAAAGGTTGGTTTATGTCAACTTTCACGTATTTATACGTTATGAAACGTATGAGTAGCCTAGTGGCTTAAGCGTGCGCCTCGAAACCCTGAGGTTGTGCGTTTAGATCACAGTTGTGCACAAATGGAAGTTTGTTTAGTGCGCATTTAACAATATATGACCCAAAAATTTGTTTTTTTTTACTAAAATTATAGAAAAACATATAATATTTTTTTTTAATACATTTGTAATTTATTACGAAGATATCTGCAATATCCACCATCAACATTTATGCCGCTTGAAGGCTGAGTGCACAACTATGTGTACTAGTATGATAAAATTGAAAAGCAAAAGTTTGGCAGTTCCAATTTAATTAATAACACGCTGCCACTTTAATTTCAGAGTTATAAAGTACTTTTGACAAAATCGTTGAACAAGCCGATAAAAAACAAGTTTTGCGACACAGTTATTTTCAATAAGCTCCTTAACACCGAGATAATGAAAAAAGTTTTTATTACCACAATATCGGTGTTCCGTTTCAACTTGGAGCAATAAGTGGCTAAGAAATGGTTTACTTGTGTCTCAACTTTCTAAATCGTTATTTAATATTTATTTTCGAAAGAATTTCTTGTATTATTGCTATTTTGATTTATGGGCATCTGTTTCGAAATTCTATATCGAATGAGCCTTTCCAATACATAAGTTTGACAAAACCATTAGTTTTACTAATCTGTTACTTACTTTTCGTAATCAAACTATCCTAATAAAACCTTAAATTATATCTCGTTATTGTTTTTGTCGGCATGGTAGCGATTTCTACGAATTAAAGTCAACACACGTGGTGAACCTCTTAGCTGCTGGCACCTGTCGTCTCAACGTGTTGGCATCTCCTAATGGATCTCTCCCTAAAGTTTATAGTATCGCCGTTTCCCCACGCACTGGATCCAACGTTTTCCCTACATGCCTTGTGGGTTTCCCGGCTAACAAATTATATTTACCGGAAGAAGCAGCTTTCTTTACTAGTATAAAAATATGTTTGCCTAAAAAGAAACACAGGATAATTTAAAATTGTCAGCAAAATTCTGTGAATTTTATTGATCGGTATAGTTATTCGTCCTTAAGTTTATAGCTGGTATATTAATTTCCGTTGTATTAAGTAAAGCTTGATGAGATCCCTATAATCTCACCCGGACTGCGAGTGAACGGTAAATCAACTCGTCTAGAGGTTACTATAATTATTATAATCGGCAATATATTTTGCCTTATAAGCCAATAAAAACGGCCACATTGGTATGAAGTTTTGATACCGAATAATTTTGTTTTTATTTCACTTAATGCTACAAATTTTTACGTGTTAGAAACTGTGCCTTGGAAAAATACGGTCCTGCTTCTGGTTTCTAGATGCATTCGTCATTTGACATATACGTCATCTCGTTCTGTGGGAGTTACACATAAAGTAAAAATCAGAGAATAATTTGTTGTTAAGCTGTCGTAGTTACAATTAATTATCGCAAAACGAAACACAACTACTCGTATCAACTAATTGTCGTGTATTTTATAAACACCGTTACTTTAATATATTGATATCTAATTAAAGTTATTTAATATGTTAATATTAAAAGGTAATTCGGATTAATTTTGTGCTTAAGTACCGAGAAGCTTAATTTAAATCGTGACCGGACTCCAATAAGCGAGATTAACATTTTTTCTGAACTGTTTACCCTAATTAGTATTTTATTGAGCAAATTATAAATCGCTTTCCAATATTCCAAGAAATTTTACTTTGGAAGGTAGACACGGGCAGCTAAAGCAGTGTCGGCCTGGTGGCTTCTGCTTGCGCCTCTCGAACCTTAGTATGTGCGTTTGAATCACAGCTGTGCACCAATGGACTCTTCTTTATATGTGCGCATTTAATTCTTGCTTGCACGGGGAAAAATAACCTCGTGGTTTGCCTTAGACTTAAATAATCGACGCCGTGTGTCAGGCACAGATCATCTACGTGCCTATTAAGAAAAGAAAACTGATTTAAGGCTAAAACCTAGAGATTGTAGCGCCACTGTTATATTTTTAATGAGGTAGATCCATTCAGCACGATCTGATTCAACATGATCTTTAAACAAAAGTAATCACCTGTCTCTTTTAACACAACGTAAAAACAATTTGACAGAGGCAAAAGAATACTGATTTAGTTTTTAAGAATAAGTAGGACCAATTTCACACTACATTAGAAATATGTCTATTTTTTTATATTTACAGAAACACAACGTTTTCTTAATATATACTATATATCGATTTGGTAGTTATTATGCTTGCCTCTGCTTTCTTTAGTTTTTATGTTCAATTTGGAAAATAATTTTTATTAGCTATAAAGCCACCTGTTGAACGACGTAATTTTTATTTTTGTAGTTGCTCCGTGTTTCATTGTATTTAAAAATACCACTATATTATTGATAAATAAAACTAAATTTTATATTTGGCCTCATGAAACACCAGCAATGGTTAGAAGTAACTCAATAAGTTAATTGGCTGGTATTGGAACTTTCTAACAAAAGTTTCTTCTTAGATTAGGTAATCTAGCGTAATCTAACATCGAAACCTAATACTAAAATAAATCTCTCAGTATTCGTACTGGTGTCCCAAACTTAGATTAACGTTACAAACACCCAAGGGAGAAAATTCTATAAGTAAATATATTTATATTTACTTATAGAATTTTCTTACATAACATACGTCTGTGCGGGATAAATGTTCCAATGAGAAATCTCTCCATTCAAAAGTAATAAAAAACGCTGTAAGCAGAATTCATAATAGGGTTAAGCTAGCGGACGGTTGACGAATTGCAGTGGGATCTTAGTAGTGTGGTTGTAAGATCCACATCTTGAACTATACATAAGCATATTTGCTTTCGGAACTACTTGAACAGCTCTGTGAGAAACATAGCAAAAATTTCTGTATCTCATTCACTATTTTTTCCGAGCTTTTAAAATATTTTTTATTTTCGTAAAATCAAATCAATAATAGATATTGCGATTCAGTCTTATTTTTATGCAATAATCCTTAAATAGTTAAGGGACAAATTTTTTTAAAGTAATAATAAGGATTATACATTCAAACCTTATTTCAGTATTTTTTACTCATTTTGAAAATATTTATAAATATCTCACTTCGTTTTCTCAACCGTTTCGAGTTTTTAAAATCGTTTAACAAAATCAAATGTTTCTGTTTATCTGTGGGATACATGAAATATTTTTGTGAATGACTTTGAATATCAATTTCTATAAATCAAGAGCTTTTGGTGATGTATGATGAAATAATTATCATTTAGTGTTTTTCAGTGCATAATAATTATTGTTTTAAAGAAAATCAAAACCCTGCTTTTAAAACAAAGGCATAAAGGTAAAAACAACAAATTTCAGTGAATACATAATATTTTTCTAAGACTACTTTTCTTAGAGTACTGGTTTAAGGAATCTTTCATTGTTAGGCATAGAACCTTTTTAGTCAATAAAACAAAGTATTTATAGTAAAATGTATTACAAACTAACATTAAATTAAAACATTAATTTTACATGAGATCTTTGTTACAAATTAAACTCAAGGCAATTTCAAACTAAAACATTATTTACATTTTGCTGTTGGGCATTCCAAGAAGATAATAAAATTATTAGAATTACAAATAATTTCAAAGTTAAATAATAGACTATTTGCATTTATGGTACGAGTTGTAAGATCAGCTTTGCTAAAGTCGACACGCCAAGTTAATTTCAACAAAGTTTCCTAACAAGCTTTTACTTGATCTAGACAAAGGTAAGAGTAGACAACGAAAATTACATGTACCATTAACTATACATTAATTATGGATTATACACAACGTTAATGCGTCGGTAAGGCAAAAAGAAATCTTTCTAGTGTCGATGAGGTTGCTAAAGTTAATCAAATTCCATTGCTCAGTTTTATTGATAACAATAGACGACTAATGTAATTTAGAGGGCGACAGTTTCTGTCCCGTTTCTAATTTCATCGTGGTGATCAACTATTCATATTTTACTTTTAAAAACACGTCAAATCGTAAACCTTCTTCAGTTTTTTAAAGTCAAATAAATCACCCTTCTTACATTCATTACAGCATAAACATAATTTGACGAGACAAGCGAGTTACATAAATAATAATAAATAAGATAATACAAACGTAAGATGAGAATGTGTAGCCACGACTGACTTTTTCGAATAATATCGATGAACTACCAATTGACAAATACGCAATAGAACATTCGATCGTTTTATGTTTTGCAATAATCGCCCATTTCTACTTTCATGTGTCCACTTTTACAGCTCTTTAACAGTTTCGCTGGTTTTTGCACAGTAAGCCTAGTAAATCAAAAGAAATTAAAGTACTGGAAGTAACATCAAAGTTTGTTAACTAAGTAGCATTGTTAAGTTAAGCTCTAAAACTGTGTGAAAAATTATAGGCCAGTGATGAGTCCACACTCGCGCACCACTTGCTCCGCTGATACGGGGTTAAGGAACACTGAAAGTTGAAAATATAATTTCTATATATTTGATTAATAAATTAAAGCGTACCACTTAGTGAAACTAATTCATGATAAGTAATTTCGTTCACAATGTTTAAATTTTAAGTGGGTAAAGTTCCATTTTCTTTTTATTTCACACACACAGAGACATTTAACACACCAAGTATTTTGTTGTCAATACACAAATGACACGAGTGCCAAAAAAGAATACAGCCAACCATCCACAACAGTGATTGCGAATTATAAAATACATATTAAGCACTAGGAATACTCTGCTTTCTCCTTATTACTTACAACTTTATTCCATATTCAAATAGTACCTACCTTCTGTGTAACCGAAAGCATTAGAGCTATGAAGAGAGATTCTTTAAACACATGAGACCGCTCTTAGTTCAAGGACCCAGTTTTTATGAACGAGTACGTGTTCCAGTTTGTAAATTTAATTTAAAACAACAATCTTAAAAGCAGTAACTTACTTGCCCCTCCATTGAATATGTCTTGATCAGGAATAATACTCGCCGCAGCAATAGCGGCCTCGTCTAGTACGATCACCTGAAAAATATGTTTGATGTATATTTTAGTAAAAGTAAATAGACAATCTCACAATAGAGCGTGGGAGACGTACATTTGTTGCATTTATCCCTGCTCTATCGATATTTTCTAAGAATAAAATAATATTTAAACAATTTTGTAGTGGATATAAACTCCATTAACTTTATATTATCTAGAAAAGATTTTGTAAAAATAAGTTCTTGTAACAAAAATATCTTAAACTGTTAGTTGCAGTGTTGGCTTAGCGGTGTCAGCGTGCGACTCTCATACCTGAGGTCGTAGGTTCGAACCCCGGCTGTGCACCAATGGACTTTCTTTCTATGTGCGCATTTGCTCGAATGGTGAAGGAAAACATCGTTAGGAAACCGACATGTCTTAGACCCAAAAAGTCGACGGCGTGTATCAGGCACTGGAGGCTGATCACCTACTTGCCTATTAGATTTAAAAATGATCATGAAACAGATTCAGAAATCTGAGGCCAAAACCTAAAGAGGTTGTAGCGCCACTGATTTATTTTTTTATTTATTTTTTGTTAGTTAAAAGATTGTTATCAGCGATACGCTTTCTTTTATAAGTAGCATAATGTGAACAGAAAATTTATTTTGCAAAATCGAAACCTCCATAAATAAACATAAAAAACAATTCCTCAAAAACACTTTCAAACTTTTGTTGCTGCACTCAAAATGTAAATACATTTAGTAAAATTACCTTGGGACACTCAATTATATGAGCTTCCAATCGCTCAGTCTTCTCTTGTTCTCTCCTCTGTGGCAGCAGGTCTATTGCATTGGCGGCTAACGACCAAAGGTGACCAGCGCCTTGTGAAGCCCGCGCACCCTTGCGGAAGTGAGGGTTGATGGACAGGTTGTGTCGAACAGAGTTTTTCCAACGCTCATCATTCGCTTTGTAGAAAGGAAAGTGGTCACTGTAAATTCAAATCTATAAAGAACCTTTACGCTTAATTTTCTTTTTTCATTTTGTACGCAAAAAGGCATAATAGGACAGTAGGAGCAACAACATGGTCAAGGGTTATAAATGTTTGATTTTGTTTTATGTTCTAAAGTTTTGAAATTTAAAAAATCTATGTGTGATATCCATTCCGTCTACATTACATATCGTAACATCCATATTCCAAGAAACCTTATACTCATATATTACTTAAAAGTTAAAAAAACGTAAACGTAATACTAGATATTGCACAGAGTTTTGACATTTTTCATGGTTCTCTGGCCTCAGCTAAGAGTAGAATTAGGACACAGTACCGATAATTTCTTTTCTTGGTTCTACTCGTAAAAGTTTATTTCTTTTATAGTTTTTATATTAAATTTTATGGTTGTTTGTATTAACACTGTTTATTGTATCTACTTGATTTCGTTGGTCGTGTCCACATGTTATTGGGACCGCACCGAATTTTATATTTTTGTATGTATGTCAATTTATTTCATGTCCTAATTTTGTGGTCCAAATTAAAAAAAAAAATCGCTTATTATTTAGTACGCAGTAAATATCATCAATTCATTATTTTCTTAAAACTATTTGTAAACGTAGAGATCCCCTCATGTCATAAGCTACCCACCCCCGCGATCAGTGTCAAACCGCAAGACGGTCCCACGCTGTGACGGGTACGGCACGATCGATTTTGCTCAATGGGGCAAGGGCCGATTTGTCTATTAACCGTAACAATCGAGGGTTGATCCCACCTGTACGATTAACAGCTGTTTAAATGGTTAATGGATCAGAATGAGTGATATTGATACAAGACAATTTTTTATAACAAATTTCAAATAATTTAATTTCAAATTTTTGTTGGCAAATAAATTCTAGACAAGGCGAGACAAGCAAAAACGAAAATATGTTTTTGTATTTAACCGGTATGTTCCGGCTTTGCATTACTTATTTTATAAAATACTAGTTGACCCGGCAAACGTTGTTTTGCCATGCCATATTTTTTCTAGGAAACTTTTCAATAAAAATAACTATCTACTATAATAAAAAATAGGGATTGATCGTAGAGGGGTGAAAATAAGGGGTTGTATGTATTTTTGTATACTGTATCATAAAAACATACAAAAAATTGTGGTGGACACCCCTTATCACTTAGGGGTTTGAAAAATAGATAGTAGCCGATCCTCAGACTTATTGAATATGCATAAAAAATTTCATAACAATCGGTCGAGCCGTTTCGGAGGAGTATGGGAACGAACATTGTGACACGGGAATTTTATATATTATATAAATTAGCAAATAACTAGCCAATGTTATTAAGGAGTAATGTAGTATTCCAATGATGAAAGAAGTATTAAAATTGGTCTAATCGTACTAATATTATATATCTTTATTCTTGTATAGATAAAATTGTGTTTGTTAATATTTTGCATAAAACTGGAAAACGATTTATTCATTATGTACGTTAGCATTATCAGTAACGGTTAGTCAACGTTAAACAATATAGTTAATTCTCTAATCGAATTTAACAACAAGATTACCGATTCGTAATCAGTTGTGATAAAGTGAGCTAAGCGGATTTGTATGGATATTGAATCTTTTATTAATTTATTATCAATGTTTGAACTAGTCGTTATCTATGCACATCGATATTATGTCAACGAAAGAAATAATAATCTTTCCCATAGAATAAATCAGAATGCAATATATATATAATTTATTATATTTAGATACAGGTAAGAAAGATCGTGTTAAAAATTCAAACGATAGTTTCTATTCTTTCGATATCAGGTAATTTAAATATTTCATGGCAATGTACAAAAAATAATGGATAAAACAGAAGAATAACTAAATTATATATTAGAAAAAGTCGTATGCAATAAAAATAACTTCACAATTTATTTGCTTCTTGAATCGGATTTTATCATTGTATAAATTATGTAAATCTAAAACTAAAGCCCTATTTTTAAAGTATTTTATGTTGTATGACTAAATTTACAGCTTCTAATATAACAATTGCAAACAAGATAACTTTAAAACACTAACATAACAAAATTATCGAAACATATACAAGACCGTTATCGTATTACATTTAACAAAACTAGCCACTCTCGTAAACTCAGCCAGAGTTAAATTTAGTAATTTAGTTCCATTTGTCAGTTTAACAAGAACTGACCTGCCCCAAACCTAATAAATGAGGTTAAGAACCCATCAATTATTCATAATGGTGTCAAAATGAAAAATATATTTTGACAAAGAGATCGCAAGCCGTCACCCCTCACAATGAAAATGTAAAATGTAATAAAAAGCCTACAAAAGAACTGGAAACCTGCAATGTAATCGTGTTATCATTGTGTTATACCCGAATGCTTGAAAATAACGATTTCGAGCTGAAATTTAGGGTTTTGATATTTGTCTGTGTATCAGATATCAGCCATGCGATTCTGTAACTCACTTTTCGAACTCTCACAGCGGTTTTCACAGCGTCGGTCGCGCTCAAATCAGTCGTAAAGCAGTCATTTTACGATTTGGTATTCTGATAAACAATAAACTACAAGCTCCTTAGAGTGCCAGAGTTCAGAAAAGAAAAGTGAGTTACAGAATCGCAAGGCAGTTAACTCTAAATCTCATAAGCAAATTAATTTTTAGTTTAATAAATCAATAATCCTACAGTCTTTAATGTAGTGGTGTAAGCATGCGCTTCTTAAACATTAATTTGATCCCCGGCCATGCGTCTATAGAGTTTTCGTTTGCGCAGTGAATACTTGATCGTACGGCGATCGAAAATGTCACGAGGAAACTATGATGACTAAGGCCCAATCACCGTATTTGATAAAAATAAAAATCATCTACAATATAGATAGACAAATGTGTTTGCTGCAAGATAAATTGAGGGATAACGAGGCTTTGTAAAAAATCATGAAATATTAAAAAAATTACCTTGACCTACCTACCTACCAGAGGTAGTAGGTATATCTAAGACAAATTCATCGCATTTTGACCACCATTACACCATTGTTAATTTCTTAATGGTTCTCTTAAATAATTTTAAATATTTTATGTCTAAGATATAGCTTTCTTGAAGCCAACGTGATATATCTATGTGGCCATGCCTGTAGCCACATCACGTAATATAAAATAAAAATAAAAATTTATATCTTATTCCATTATAAGTACATATGCATTACAATGTGTAAGCTTTGTACATAATAAAGTAATAAACATATACATATGAAAAAAAATATTATATTTGATTTTTTAAAATTGAATTATCTCTCTAAATTTCAAATAATAAACACTCACGAAATCCATTGATAAATTCCCGAGACTGTAAGCTCCCCTCTTTCTCTCAAAGCTCGCTCGATTAGTTCGGGATACGTGTAAGGCGGTTTCTTCACAGTCAGAGGTTCCTCAACGCGCACCTCATCTTCAGGCACCGTCACATTTACAAGCGCGTCCAGTCGAAAATTAAGTAGCCACGCCAAACTAGCGCAGTCATTGTCATCGTCAGGAATCTTTGATAATTTTCTCCTGCGCCATTTCGCTTTATCGCCGACCGTTCTGGTTGCCATCACTGACAGAAAGCGAATCACGGGGGTTCAAATGCGGCGTGCCAGCCAGTACTATCGCCACAGATAACCTCCGTGGAAACGAAAGAGGCCATGCTCGAAAAGTTTGCATATATTTGAGCCGCGTTATATATGCGTGACAATAATAATAGTGTTAATTGTCCTTAGCAATTGTAGTAAATTTATGCGTTGATTTTTTCTACTTTAGAAAAAAAAGTTTAAATAGCATTTTAAACCATTTCTATATTTTTTTAGACGAAGCATATCAATTTACAACCATGAAATAATATAGTATATGTCTATATCCCCGGACACACTTGAATAAGGCAATGGGCATCAGCAATCTCATCAGTGTGTTGTTGTTGTGCCATTTGAGCCACGGTCTCTGCCTATTTATAAGTAATAGACACAAAACTGCCTATGCTAGTATTGGTTCATATTATTAATCTTGAGAACCCAAACCTTGAACTGAAAACAGCTACAAAAATGCAATTGTTAGTAACTACAGTAAGATAAAACTTAAAATTCTATCCACAGTTCAAAAACGAAGGTTGATTGTTATTGAGATTGGACGTTAGAGAATTCCTATCAATATTCAATCCGTTTAAACATTCCATGCATTCTAAACCATATACTATAGTTATTATTAAAGGGAATCTTTTTAAATTGTTGACAAACTTTAGTACGTACTTACTATATCGACGTAGAAAATTTTGTTTGTGATTTTCCAGTTTAGATAATGACTCCGAAACTAAGCGATAACTATTTCAGTAGCACTCTGGTCTGAATATACTGTACATATCCTGAGGGCGTAGGTTCAATCCCCGGGTGTGTACCAATGGTCTTTCGGTATATGTGCAGTCACCACTAACTCGTACGGCGAAGGCAATATCAAGAGGAAGCCGGCATACTTTGGCAAAAGTCGGCGCGTATCTCAGGCATAGAAAGCTGATCATCTACATGTCTAGTAAGAAAGAAATAGTGCGTGGAGTCCTTCCTAACGGGAGAAGTGAATCTTCGTAATGTGAAAATGAAAATAGGAAGCATTCACTCTCGCTCTGTCTCTTTCTATTCCTTCTCCCCAGGAGCGTTAAACGTTTAACGCAACCTTGTTGGAAGTCGTATTAGAAGTTTCACTTCAAAAATAAATGAACACGAAAGGCATACAGAGACATCCGAGGCCCAGACCTAGAAGGTTATCACTTATCACTTTTATTCATAGTACTGTTACGCGTGTTTACTGAATTCCTATAAACTTGGCTGATTTGGGGTGAGGTGTTAGTATGGAACATGTCATGATGAACCACGTCAGGTATGCACTTTAAACTCATTACTCCTTTTAGAAAACGAATCGTGAAAAGAATGTACCAAATTTGTTCTTAGACACTTAATGATTATCGCTTTAGTTATAGGTAGGATGAAAACTGAATGATTGGTTTAAGGTTAGTTAATATTTATTGTTAATAAACGCGCACATTAACTTGACTTGTCAAATTCGATTAGCGTGTTTAACGCGTTTACGGCTAAGCAGGATACAAAGGCGTGTACACAAATAATGTAATATATTTAATGGCATATCTAATGTTCATATAAAACTGAACTATCAAAACTTAATATAAGCACAAAACATAATTAAACATAATATATTTCTAATCATAATTTTAATTGGGTAGCATCGAATCTTTTAAAAGGTGTTCTAGTTTCTAAAAGTTTCATGATAGCAAAACCAAAGCAAAACTATACTACTACAAAGGTAACACTTTTTTAAATCAGACCTTTAGATCACGTCATGTTTTAGTTTCTTAACCAATCACAATCAGCGCCCTCTGTTCGTCTTTTGTTTTACGTCTGTGTTCCAGCTATTCAGTATAAGCAATAAACTCACGAGCCAGTCTGCCTGGGGATTAAGCAAACCGCCAATCGCCAAAGCGCGAGTTTTGACTTTGAAAAAAGTAATAAAAGTTGTCCATTGAACAGTGATCGTGAAAAAATCCATGAAATCCCCTCGCTGGCGCAAATTGGAAAAGTAATTGAATCGAACAATATTCGCAGTGGAATGGACACTGACGTGGAAAATCATTACTATTTTCATACAGGGCCAATCAATACAATTATATTCATGTTTATAATCAATGTCTGTAGTTTTCGTTATATTGGATTTCACTCTATGGTTTGTGGTTTATTTTTTATGAAATACAACGTGTGTTCGAATAATTCATAAATTATAAATAGTTTTTAAAATAAATTCATAGAATTTTTTAAATTTCCATTGATAAATTACCATGAAAACTTAGTTCAGTGTCCATAACATTATCTATACTCAGAGGTATTCGGCAAGATACCATTTTATTTGGTACAGTATTTGCGCTGAATTCCTAAACATCTAATCACCTATTAAGTCAATTGTCAAATCTTGTTTTGAGTATTATGAAATATGTCAAACATCAATAAAGACAGGCATTTATTAAAAATATTTAAGTTTGATGTTCTAAACAACGATATTAAGAGTTTTATTTGTAACCGAATACATTTTTAAATACGTATTTAATAAAATTGTATTTAACTCCACGATAGATTATCTAACATGACAATGTTTTAACTAAATCCTTATCATTACGGCATACAGTAAAACCCTATACATTTATTTACATTTCATCATACTAACCTGTACAGTTGAAACTAAATTAATTGGCTGTAAACAAAGCATAAATTATACGCTTTCAAAATACAGTATTATAACAATTTACCACATTTCATAGACTAGCTTCGATAACAAATATTATATTCGTTAACTACGGTTGTGACCACAAATATGAAATAACAGTTCAATTATAATTTGAATTACATCCGTGCTACCACCAAATGTTAAAATACATTTGACAAAATTATTCAATTTTGGTGTAGCCATTTGTGGTTTGACTCCAAGTTGTCATAATGCGGAACTAAAAGTTCTACATGTTCGTGTAGCATATTGTATGGGAATTTGAAATATATAACAATGATAAAATGATGTACCTACCCAAGAATCGTGGACGTGTGTCAAGCACCGAAGTCAAACATATTTGCCGATAAATTATATATCAATGAATGAAATGCGGAGGGAAGAAGCTAAGGTACAAGGCTGTAGTGCCACTGGATTCCTTGGAACGTTGTATAAACAAATAATAATACTTAAACTTGTATGGTTCGCTAATTTCTGATTTCTTTCGAATTCTTATTGAGCCTTAATTGAAACTATTTTCTAAAAGAAAATCGCAATGTAATCCCAGGTAATTGGATTGCATCTCGACATTTTGTTTAGTCAAGAATTCTTAGCTATTGTAGTTCAATTAAGGTAACAAAATGTTAATAAAAGTTAATAACGTATTTGTTACTATTTTTATGATACTATTTTCGTATAAATTTGAAGGCGAAATTATTTTATAGACCTGCCTGAATTATTGTTTCACAATAACTTCTAAATTTGAATATATTTGTCGTCCTGCAGGACTGTCACTGCGTACAAAGTAAATAATATTAAGTTCATGTCATGTTTTATTATTCTAGCCTAGTATTCTAATTATTCTTCTTTATCGGCTTTAATTTTTATGTCTTTTACTCTTTCGTGTACTCATTTTTTTTTTTCTTAAACGCAATATTTGATTCCTGTAAGCATCCTCTGATACTAGCCGTCGATGTTTTGGTCAAAGGCATGCTTTTAAGATATTTCCATTCACCGTACATGCGAGTGTTAAATACGCGGTTAGATATTACGTAGAACGGACCAATTATGAGTAAGGCTGCTGCCTCGAATTTTGCGGGCAGCGGGCGATTGCACCTCTCGTTACCCGCCCTCGCGCCGCTGCCACGCCGCTGTTTTCGAGAACCGGTCCATTTGATTTTACGCATAAGATCCTGCCGTTCCCGCGCCGCCGCCGCTGCCGCCCCGCTGCCCGCAAAATTCGAGGCAGCAGCCTAAGTGCGGAAAATGAGTCCACCAACCTATAACCTATACGCAGTTAGATATAAAAATCTATAAGTGCACTGCCGCGATTCGACCGCATAATCCCAGACTCAAAATCAATCAAATTCAATAATAATAAAGTTTATTTGCCTCTTCACAATATCGAAATTGACAGGTTGACTTGCTGCTGGTACCTATTGCCCATTTTGTGAGAGGCTGGTGCCTATAACATGACTCTACAAGCCCTGTAGTGACGGGTAACCAGCCTTCCATCGCAGATAGAAAATATACAAAGAGATGACTACATACTATGACTAAACTAAAGTAACAGATCAAATTCAATCAAACTTATAATTATATATTTTACTAGCAGGCCGGCCAAGCGTTGCTGTGGCTAAGGTTTTTGTTATATTACATAGTAGTAAACTATTCAAGGGAAACGGTAGGAGAACACCAGTCATAGGGACTACCATGCTTTTTTGATGGTTATGCCATTAAATTGTAGCTTATGTGAAACGAAATAAGTTAGAAGTATATAAACATATAAACAAATATTTTGCAATAAAATAATATTGTGGGTACAAATTGAGATGTTAGCTATCCTATCTTTTAAGTTAGATCAAACCGCACACGGTGTGCAAATTTGATTGAAATCGGTTCTGTAGTTTAGGAGTCCATAGCGGACAAACAACGTGACACGTAATTTATATATATTAAGATTTGTTTTGTTTATGTATAAACGTCGAGTTATACCTGATAAATTCACGACTATATGTGTTTATCATGAACCTAAAAACATAATTAGAATTGTCTTTGATTAACATAACTTTTATTCATTTAATAAAACACTATTTTGACCGGATTGAAGTTATGTATTATTATAAATTTGTCACCGTGACCACGCACGCTGTAAAGCACGCGAAACGTCGGATAAATTTAAAATTATGTTAAATAGTTGTAAATTTATAATAATACATAACTTCAATCCGGTCAAAATAGTGTTTTATTAAACATAATTAGAAGCTAAGGGTTGTAAGAAATATTTACCTGAAAATCCTTG